AGGAGAAGGAGGAGAAGAAGGGTGCGTCGGCCACACGCCAGGGCAGGCGCAAGCCCCTGGGTCGTGGCAGGCTGCCACATCCCTGCCGCCCGGTGCTTATGAACGTCCGGCTGGACCTCTCCCCCCTCCTGTCGTCGTCGTCGTCGTCGTCGTCGTCGTCGTCGTCGTCGTCGGCGTCGTCGTGGCAGGCTGCCACATCCCTGCCGCCCGGTGCTTATGAACGTCCGGCTGGACTTGAAGCCGGCTGAGAGGCTGAGGTGGCCCACCACTGGTTCGAGGAGGTTTTTCGCTGTTTTCACCCCCCCGGGGCCGTTTTTGGGCCCCGGGACCTCGAAAAATCGATACGGGGTACAAAACGCCGTCGGATGGACCCCGGGAGGGGTCCGGGGACCGATTTTGAGCCGATTTTGCTTACACCCCCCCTCTTGACCGATTTTCGTGGGTCCCATCCAACGCAGACCCCCCAGCCGCCTCCAAGACTGGACCTCTCCCCCCTCCCGTCGTCGTCGTCGTCGTCGTCGTCGTCGTCGTCGTCGTCGTCGTCGGCGTCGTCGTGGCAGGCTGCCACATCCCTGCCGCCCGGTGCTCATGAACGTCGTCGTCGTCGTCGTCGTCGTCGTCGTCGTCGTCGTTGTCGTCGCCGTCGGCGTCGGCGTCGGCGTCGGCGTCGGCGTCGGCGTCGGCGTCGGCGTCGGCGTCGTTGTCGTCGTCGTCGTCGTCGTCGTCGTCGTCGTCGTCGTCGTCGTCGTCGTTGTCGTCGGTGCATCGCACGGCCAAGCAGGCATGCTCGTAGACGAGCTCCTGCCAGGGGACCCGTGCACGCGGACATCCTCAAACTTCGGAGGTGGCCCACCCACACTCGCACGAGACATCCTCGCAACTCTGTGTTTGCAGATGCCCTGACCTCCAGAAGTCCGGCCAGCTTGGCGTCGGAAGCCTTCTCGCCTCCACGCTCGGAGCATCAGCGCGCGACGTCGTCTACCCAGGCCTGCTTGAGACTCGAACGAAGCTCTAGGCCTGCACTCGAGATTGGCCGTGCCTGTTTCGCACGAGACACCCTCGCACCTCTGGGATCCGACATGCTCTGCCATGAACTGGTGTCGCCCGTCTGCCTCCGACCCCCTCGCCACTCCAGGCGACATCCTCCCGCCTCTGGCCCCAGAGATGCTCTGCCCTGAGATGACTCGGCCGGTTCTTCGGAGACATTCTCGCATCTGTGAGCTCCGAGATGCCGCGGGAGAGGTGGTCTGGCCACTGTTCCCCCAGACACCTTCGCAACTGTAAGCTCGGACATTCTGCGCGCGACATGGTCCAGCCCGTTTCCCACGAGACATCTTCGCGACTCCCCGCTCCCAGAGGCTCTCAAATCACCTCTGGGATGTTGCGCTGTGCAATGATCTGCTCCGCTACGCTATCCCATGCTCTGACGGGCTTTGCTGGTGAGGTCAGTCATGCTTCGGGTAGGGAGACCACTAGTTATATCGCAAATGGGCTCGACAGACACATCCATGGTGAGAGTAATTCTCAGATCGACAGTGCGATCAACAGCGAGGTTCCTGGTCCGATCCATGGTGAGTTCCGCCTGCAACGTCCTCCCAACTCTGGGACCTTGGCTGCCCTGCCCTGATATCGTCCAGACCGTTCCTTCTGAGACATTCTCGCATCAGTGGGCTCAAAGATGCCGCGGAAGGGGTGACCTAGCCAGTTTCGCCCACGACCTCCTCACAACTGTAGGCTCAGACATGCTGTGCGCGAAGTAATCTGGTCAGTTCCGCCCGATAAATCCTACAGACTCTACGCAATGTCCTCACCTCGGGTGGTCCCGCCCAGCCTCGTCCTTCCTCGTCGTCGTCGTCCTCCCCGTCGTCGTCGCCAGCGTCATCACGCCGATGGGCTCCCTGGTGGTGTCTCCAGTCTGGCCTGCGACATTCTCGAAACTCAGGGCCCAGAAATGCGTCACTTGAGATGACCCCGCCCACTCCTTCGGAGACGTCCTCGCATCTCTGGGCTCTGAGATGCCGCGGAGAAGTGCTCTGGCCAAATTCTCCTGGGACACCCTCCCAACTCTAGCCGACATCCGCGCCACTCTGGGCCAAGATATGCCCTGCCCTCAGATGACCCGGCCTGTTTTTCGGGGACATTGCCGCATCTCTTCGCTCACAAATGCCGCGTGAGAGGTGCTACGCTGTGCACTGACTTGCTCCGCTTTCCTATTCCATGCGCTCACCAGCTTTGCTGGCGATATCAGTCGCCATGGGCACGGGGCGGACAGTTCGGTCGCTAGTGAGCTCGATACACACATCCGTGGAGAAATCGATGGTGAGCTCGACCGTGAGATCGACAGTGGGCGCATGGTCGTATCGATCGTGAGTTTCGCTTACAACATCTTCGCAACTCTAGGACCACAGCGCGCGCGAAGTGATCCGGCGAGTTCCGCCCGATACCTCCTCCTGACTCTAAGCTTAAACACGTCCTCACCTCGGATGCTCCTGTTGTCGTCCTTCCTGGTCGTCGTCGTCCCCGCTGTCGTCGTCGCCAGCGTCGTCCAGACGCTGGGCCCCCCCTGTCTTCTTGTCATCCCCCCCCCTCCTCGTCAACCTCCTCTTCCTTGCCCTCTCCCCCCTCCCGTCGTCGTCGTCGTCGTCGTCGTCGTCGTCGTCGTCGTCGTCGTCGTCGTCGCCGTCGCCGTCGCCGTCGGCGTCGGCGTCGGCGTCGGCGTCGGCGTCGGCGTCGGCGTCGTTGTCGTCGTCGTCGTCGTCGTCGTCGTCGTCGTCGTCGTCGTCGTCGGTGCATCGCACGGCCAAGCAGGCATGCTCGTAGACGAGTTCCTGCCAGGGGACCCGTGCACACGGACATCCTCAAACTTCGGAGGTGGCCCACCCACATTCGCACGAGACATCCTCGCAACTCTGTGTTTGCAGATGCCCTGACCTCCAGAAGTCCGGCCAGCTTGGCGTCAGAAACCTTCTCGCCTCCACGCTCGGAGAATCAGCGCGCGACGTCGTCTACCCAGGCCTGTTTGAGACTCGAACGAAGCTCTAGGCCTGCACTCGAGATTGGCCGTGCCTGTTTCGCACGAGACACCCTCGCACCTCTGGGATCCGACATGCTCTGCCATGAACTGGTGTCGCCCGTCTGCCTCCGACCCCCTCGCCACTCCAGGCGACATCCTCCCGCCTCTGGCCCCAGAGATGCTCTGCCCTGAGATGACTCGGCCGGTTCTTCGGAGACATTCTCGCATCTGTGAGCTCCGAGATGCCGCGGGAGAGGTGGTCTGGCCACTGTTCCCCCAGACACCTTCGCAACTCTAAGCTCGGACATTCTGCGCGCGACATGGTCCAGCCCGTTTCCCACGAGACATCCTCGCGACTCCCCGCTCCCAGATGCTCTCAAATCACCTCTGGGATGTTGCGCTGTGCAATGATCTGCTCCGCTACGCTATCCCATGCTCTGACGGGCTTTGCTGGTGAGGTCAGTCATGCTTCGGGTAGGGAGACCACTAGTTTTATCGCAAATGGGCTCGACAGACACATCCATGGTGAGAGTAATTCTCAGATCGACAGTGCGATCAACAGCGAGGTTCCTGGTCAGATCCATGGTGAGTTCCGCCTGCAACGTCCTCCCAACTCTGGGACCTTGGCTGCCCTGCCCTGATATCGTCCAGACCGTTCCTTCTGAGACATTCTCGCATCTGTGGGCTCAAAGATGCCGCGGAAGGGGTGACCTAGCCAGTTTCGCCCACGACCTCCTCACAACTGTAGGCTCAGACATGCTGTGCGCGAAGTAATCTGAACAGTTCCGCCCGATAAATCCTACAGACTCTACGCAATGTCCTCACCTCGGGTGGTCCCGCCCAGCCTCGTCCTTCCTCGTCGTCGTCGTCCTCCCCGTCGTCGTCGCCAGCGTCATCACGCCGATGGGCTCCCTGGTGGTGTCTCCAGTCTGGCCTGCGACATTCTCGAAACTCAGGGCCCAGAAATGCGTCACTTGAGATGACCCCGCCCACTCCTTCGGAGACGTCCTCGCATCTCTGGGCTCTGAGATGCCGCGGAGAAGTGCTCTGGCCAAATTCTCCTGGGACACCCTCCCAACTCTAGCCGACATCCGCGCCACTCTGGGCCAAGATATGCCTTGCCCTCAGATGACCCGGCCTGTTTTTCGGGGACATTGCCGCATCTCTTCGCTCACAAATGCCGCGTGAGAGGTGCTACGTTGTGCACTGACTTGCTCCGCTTTCCTATTCCATGCGCTCACCAGCTTTGCTGGCGATATCAGTCGCCATGGGCACGGGGCGGACAGTTCGGTCGCTAGTGAGCTCGATACACACATCCGTGGAGAAATCGATGGTGAGCTCGACCGTGAGATCGACAGTGGGCGCATGGTCGTATCGATCGTGAGTTTCGCTTACAACATCTTCGCAACTCTAGGACCACAGCGCGCGCGAAGTGATCCGGCGAGTTCCGCCCGATACCTCCTCCTGACTCTAAGCTTAAACACGTCCTCACCTCGGATGCTCCTGTTGTCGTCCTTCCTGGTCGTCGTCGTCCCCGCTGTCGTCGTCGCCAGCGTCGTCCAGACGCTGGGCCCCCCCTGTCTTCTTGTCATCCCCCCCCTCCTCGTCAACCTTCTCTTCCTTGCTTCTCCCTCCTCCATCCTGCAACGTACTGGCACCCACACACCACGTTCCAAAGCCGTCGCGACACCATGCCGACTACAACAGTGCTGCCCACGCCACGACATACACACGAGACGACACACCCGTCCCAACGGCCGCAGCGGCGGACTCCGCCGATGCCGCCGCACCTGCCATCCCCGCAACCAACGCCACCTCACTTTCCAGCTGCCTCGTTGCCACGCCGAGGGCGGAGGCCGCCGCGCGGTTCACTTGCTCCCAGACGCCTCTTCGAGTCGCCCTGTCCGACGCCATTGCTGCTCGAGCCGTGTGACTCGCCTCCCTTGCTGGTTCGCTCTTGCCCCCCCCCGCGCTTTCACGCGGCGGCGCGATGTCGGACCCCCTGGAGCAGCTGAACAACACGAACGCGGCCTGCAAGACCTTGCAAGCCCGCGTCCTCTTTCCCGCCAGCAAGGAGATTCCGGACAAGAACATGCACGTGTTCTCCTGCACGCTGGTGTCACAATCCGGACTGTACACGAAGGGCGAAGCCGTTCTGTTCGGCACGCCGCAACAGCGCGGTAAGGCAGTCGCGGCGCTCACGAACAAGTACAAGAAGGACGGCGTGCACGAGTTCACCAAGATGAAGATGCTAGTGAAGAAGCCGCAGTTCCAGTCCTGCCCCCACGCATTCGTCCTCAACTTGGGTCACAAGCCGCTCGTGTCCAAGCTCATCACCGGCGCCGCTGCCAACACCCTCCCTTCAGAAGCGGAGCCGCCGATGACCACCTTCGACTTACTCGAGTTGGAAACCAGCCAGCTCGTCGACGTCACAGCCGTCGCTACCAATGTGTCGGGCTCCACAAGCGCGACGGAGGGCAAGTCCAACGTCAAGGTGACCCTGTCGAATGCATCAGGCATAGAGATACCGCTCATTTTCCGAGACGACACCCGGCATCTGGCAGGGGACATCGACACGTTCAAGCCACTCTACGTATACAATGTATACCTCGTGGTGGAGAGCTCCGGCGGCCGCCACTTGACCGCCCGGAAGGAGACGCTCGCGGTGCCGGCGTCCGGCGCCCGGCCCATTGCCCGCGCGCTTGGAACCAGCAATGTGCAAGCCCTTCCTGCCGAAAAAAAAGAATGCTTATCCAAGTGGGAAAGCAGCGGCAACTGGGAGGACGGGGCGGCATGCAGCGCCCACACTGGCATCCTGGAGTGCGCCACGCACTTCAAGCGCGCGTTATCCCACACGCTCTTTGAGATCACCGGCGCCCTGGTCTCCCTGCAAAGCGCAGACGCCGCGGACCTCCTCACCAAGGACAAGACTCGCATCTGGGCCAAGGTGGACATCACGGACTTTGCCAACACCGTCACTGCCGACATGCCTGAGAGCGTCGCACTCACACTCACGGACACGAAGGACAAGGACGAATTCCTCCAGCAGGCGACCTCTGGCAGTCTCGCGTTCACAAGAGCGCGCCTCCGCGTGCGGTTCGACACACCCGCGGGGAGCACCGTGCCTTCGCTGAGCGTCGTGGCCGCCAAGTGCCGGCACTTCGACGTGCCTGAGCCCAACCTCGTCCCCCCGAGCGACGCGCGCCTAGTGCCCGTGCAGTTGACCTGGGCGTCCCAGTCCCCCACGGGCCTCATCAGCATCGCGCTCCCAGGAGAAGGTGGACGACGTCTTGCCAGCGGCATCCTCGCGCTCATCGTCGGCGCCAAAGAGCCCAAGACGGAGCCCGCCGCCGACGGCTTCGCTATTCGCAACTTCGTCACGGAGGCGTGCGGCGACCACATGGACCAGCAGTGGGAAACTGTGACGTCTGCTCCCGCAAGCCGTTTGGCATACTACGCGCTCCCGCGGAAGGAGGTAGCTCTCGTGCGCGTGACCCACATCGACGTGGCCGCGAAGGTCCTCACCGTCGCGGACATGTGGAAACAGCCCACTGGCATGTCCTTCGACCCCTGGACGGCCGAGATGCAGGCCACGATGCAGCTCCTCAAGACGCCCCCCCACACCCTCAAGAGGAAGCTGGACGACTTCGACCCAGATCTGCAGGGCATGATCGCTAAGCGCATGCATACTACGTTCGGTGAGCCCGCGACGCCCATGTAGTGTCGTCCCGACCGGCTCTAAGGCGCCACTTTTCCATCCAAGCTGCGCCCCGCTATATGCAATCTCTTCGCAGTTTGCGGGCGCCGCCACTCTTGCCGACCCAAGACACCTTCTCGGCAGATTCCGCTTCCAGATCGTACACAGACACCGTTCCTCATCTTTCTCTTCGCCATGCTCCATCTCACTTGAACCCCACCCCTCCCTGCTCCCCCCGTTTGCCCCAGTCTTCCCGCTTTCCACCCCCTTTCCTCCTCCCCGACAACGCAATGCCCTTCTTCCGCGCATTCCCTCTTTCCCCTTCCAACAAACGTCCGACATTCCCACGGCATCCTCTCCGTGCCTCGTCCACCCACGCCCCTCCCTCTACGTCAGAGCACGCATGGCAACTTTTTCGCCATCGAGCGCTGCTCGCCCAGCTTGCAGAGTTTTGTCCACGTCCAGAATCAAGCTAGATCGGCCCCACGGTGGGGATTGGGCGATTTTTGCCACTGCACCCTTTGTCTCCCTTCGTTCCATTCTGCCCCCCTCTTTCCGGTCCGCGGTGCCTCCGGCTACTCTCGCGCAAGTGCCTCTGCGTCGGCAGTTCTCTGGTGTACCTCTGGCACGATGGCGCAAAATGATTCCCCCCCGTCCGCCGCCTCGTCCTCCGGACGCATTCCCTCGTGGAGTGCGACACCGTCGTTCTTGCGCGGATTACTTGGGCTATTCGTCGTCTTCCCGTCGCCTCTGCCACGCTGCCGCTGCCACCGCTGCGTACTCTTGCCCCCCCCCTTCTTTTCCCTCCTCTCCCCCCTCTTCCGCCATTTCCCGTCCCTCGCCCCCGACGCGGTCGGCCGGCTCGGCTCGGCCGGCAAACAGATGGAGAGCGTGGAAGATGAGGAAAAGGATGGTGAGAACCGGGACGGGGGTGAGGACGACGACGGCGGCGGCGGCGGCGGCGAAGACGGAGGACGAAAGAGGAACACGGGGCGGCGACGACGACAACGACGACGACGACGACGAGCACAACGACGACGACGACGACACGACGACGACGACGACGACGACTACGACGATGAAAAAAACAGCGGTAACGCCGACGGCGGCGGCGGCGGCGGCGGCGGCGGCGGCGACGACAACGACGACGACGACGACGACGAGGACGATAACGACGATTGTGCGGCGGCGGCTCCAGGCAGTCTCGCCTGAAACGTCCCCGCACCCTTGGATTCAGCATGCTTCGCCCTGCGTTGTTCTGCCGGTCTCGCTTGAACAATCCCCCTTCTCTCGGTTCAGCGATGCCGCTCAGAGACGCCAGTCAGGGATGCGACATCCTCGCAATTCTGCCTTCGAAGGTGCCCCTACCCGGACCGATCCGGCCAGTCCCAAAAGCCACATGCTTTCAACTATGTGCTCAGAGAGACCATGCGCGTCGAGGTCCAGCCAGTCTCGCCAGAGTTGTCCTCGCAACTCTGGTCGCAGACATGCCTCGATCAGAACACAAAGTGTTCTGGCCAGTTTCGCCTGAGACATCCACGCAATTCTTGGTTAAGAAATGCCTCGACCTGAGGTGTTCCGCCCAGTCTCGTCAGAGGCATCCCCCCAACATTTGAATCAGAGATGCTGTGCACAGCGTCGTCCCGCCATTTCGCTTCAGACATCCTCGAAACTCTGAGCTCAAGTACTTCCTCGAAACTCTGAGCTCAAGTACTTCGACATGAGGTGGTCCACCCGGTCTCGCCTGAGACATCCTCGCAATTTCGGGCTCAGAGATGCTTCGCACGACGTGGTTTGGCCAGTTTCGCCTCAGACATCCTCGCAACTATAAGCTCAGATATGCCTCGACCTGGGGTGGCCCACCCAGTCTCGCCTGACATATCCTCCCAACTTACAGCTCAGACATGCTTCGCAAACAGCCGTGCAGACACTTTCACTTGAAGTACCCCCCCATGTAGTTCCAAGTTGTCTCGACCTCAGCTGATCCACCCAGTCTCGCCTGAGACATCCCACTATGGGTTCAGAGACTGCGCGCACGAAGTGCGCTGGCCAGTTTCGCTTCCGACGTGCCGCAACTGGTTTCAAATATGCCTCGCGAGAGATAGTCTGCCCAGTCGGGCATGCGACAGCCTCGCATCTCTGAGCTCGGAGATACCCTCACCCAAGATGGCCGGGACAGTCAAACGAGACATGCTTCCAACTATGGACCCACATGCCATGCACATGAAGGTGCAACCAGTGTCGCCTGAGACATCCTCGCAACTCTGGGCTCAGAGATGCTCTGGCCTGAAGTGGTCCAGTGAGTTTCCTCTCAGACATCCGCCCGCATCCAGCATCGCAGATGCCGCGTGCGAAGGTTTAACCTTCGCCACTCGCGCATAGTATGAGTCCTGAAGGGGTTGTCTGGCTTGTTCGGGGATTTGTCCGACGATTCTTCTTGATTAGATTTTACTTTGACGCTAGAACCTTATGTTGTTCTACCCCTCCCTTCGGTCGTCTTGGGGCATCTTCGGCCTTCTGGGCCCGTTTTGACAACCCTCACGTGTCCGAGGTCTCGCACTCCCTCCAGGGCCAAGACAGTGCCGGCGTTCATTGGAATGGCATACTGGAGCCACCCACCGAATACACAAGTTCCGCAACATGCCTTATCACGTACGCTTTCGGCTCAAACCACCGCGACCGCGCCGCCCGCCAACGTCGGAGGCACCTCCCCTGGAGGCGCCGCGGGGCGCCAGGGCTGCACGTGCACCCCCAGCGCTTCGGCCACCATGTCGCAGGGCCGCATGCTGTGCCGAGGAACCCACGGTGCCAAGAAGAACGCACCATTCGCACAAACGGGGTACGACGGGTACTGCAAAGTGTGCTACCGCAACTTGTTCCCCCAAAAGTACGCCCAGAAGCAGCAAGCGCGAAAGTCGATATGCAACTTCTGCGGAGAGTCACGGGAACTTGTGCGCAAGATCATGTGCAAACCATGTGAGCGCCAAAGGGCCTGCCATGTGGGCGAGTGCAACTGGTACAACTCGGAGGACTGCCCCCTGAGATGCTCCGCATGTGTGACGCGCACGAAAAAAACCCACGCCCATGCACTTGCTTGTGTCATGGGCTGTCCCACGCACACGACTGCTGACGAGCGCGCTTCAGGCTTGTGCCACGCATGCGCTTCGACCCAGACTTCTTGCACGATGTGCCGCGCAACGCTGCCGAGTGCGTCGATGAGCAGAGCGCCACGCGCTACATCCTCATGCCGCTCCACTTTCCCACTGTGTTCATCTTGTGCGGCGTCCAGTCCCAATGAGACCTGCGGGAAGTGCTGGATTGCTGATGGCCGCTTGTGCAGATATTGCAGTACGACACCCGCGCGCACAAAGTTCTACACCGCACGATCGTGCATCGCATGCGCAACCGTTCGCGCGTGTGAAATCTGTCGGCAACTACCTGCTCCAAACGCCACGTTGCCGAGCTGTTCCTTGTGCACCACTCTCGCTCTGTGGTGCCCCGTGCATTCCAGCGACGAAGAGAGACAATCCGGCCTGTGCCGCCGCCATTTTGTTGAGCCTGTGTGCGGGTACTGTTACCGGGAAGCAGATCCCATCACCGGTGAGACATTGGTGGTTTCTCACCGACCGTGCGCAACCATGGACTGCCCTCGTTCTGTCCGTTCGTGCACCCTCTGCTCCACACACTTCCAAGATTCGCAGGCCTTGTGCGACGCGTGCTGGACCGCGTCAGGGACGCTCTGCATCATCTGCGGCAAGACGCCCGCGAGGACCGATCGGATTTACATGCACTGTTGCAAGATGTGCTTCGCAGGACAGTCCCCCGCCATGCTCGCAAAGCTGGTGCAAGTCGAAAGTGAATCGTACGTGGAATCGTTGCCGCCCGCCCAATCGTGGACCGGCAAAGAACCAGCTTTTCAATTGTTTCTGCACAAGACCCACTCGCAGGAGGCGTTACCAGCATACTCGGCCACACCCGATTACGTACACCCCGATCACTGCCGCCTGTGTCTCGCCCACGTACGGCCCGAGGACCTTCCCGCGCACCTCATGGAGATGCACCGCGACGTGCTCGACGCCGAGTGTGAGGTACTGGACTCCTACAGGAACGTGGTACTTCAACGATCCCTCACAGAGTGGCCAACGCCCATCAGTCCTCAAATTGTGCGGGCACGTCTGGCTGCGTTCAAGGCGGAGCTCACCGATGCCAATTTTGCCATGGCACCTTGCGCAGTCTGCGCACGGGACAAGCGCCGATGCAAGCTCCAGACGACGTACCTACCGGACCCCTCAGACGACGCGTGCCCCGACTGGCTGCAATGGCCCGCCGACGTCTGGACTGCGCACAAGGACGCTTGGCACACGCAGCTGGACAACGTCTTCAACGTCGACCGGTACATGGAACTGATCTTCTGCAAGAGTGAGCGGCTGCGAGAAGCAGAGCTCAACGTCGCAGCTCTGCTGAAGGGAGAGGAAAGTTCCCTGGGCTTCACTACGCCCGAGGCTGCTCGAAGCTGGCAAGAGAGGGTTCAGCGCTGGGCGGCGGCCGTGCGCACCGACCTTGCGGCGGACTCCACTGCTGCGCCCGGCCACCCCGACAGGCTTTGGCTGCTGTACCGCCCGGGCATTTCGAGGTCCAGCGCAGACTGCCAGGGCGCCGCCTCCGGCATCACGGCGAACATGTGCAAGCATTGCGCGTCCGCTCTGCGGGAACTTACCGGCCCCCGTGAGGATCGCCGCCCTCGAGTTCGAGTGCCGCCAGCTGCTCTGGCGAACGGAATGTGGAGAGGCGCCGACCCCCGTGAGTTCGTGGACCTCACGTACGCTGAGTGCAAGGTCATCAACCTCGCCAAAGTGTATGTCAGCATCAAACGCGTGTTCCTGAGCAAGGCGTCCTACGCTCCTACGGCCACTTCGGAGGCCCCCACGTACCACCAGAAGAACGTGGTGGCTTACCCGCAGAGCCCCGAGACCGCACTGACTGCCATAGGCATGCTACCTGCGGCCCTTGCACAGACCATGGTGATCCAGTTCGTGGGCGGGACGTTTGACGATCTACACCGACACCCCGACCTCCAGGTCTCCGTGCTCCGCTTGCGCGCGGCGTTCCGGTGGCTCTCCCTCAACAATTGGATGTTCATGTTCGCCACCAGGCATCACGAGATCTGGCGCTCGGGCACGTTGCACGCCGCCCTGGAGGCCCTGCTCAGTGCCTACGCCAGCAGCATTGGAAGCTCCTCCGGCGTTCCGCGGGAGGTACTCTCCGCAGCAACTGCGGCTTCTGCAGCAAAGGCTTCGGTGGCGTCGGAGGGCCCAGCTGACTGCACCGACAGTGGCGCCCGCGAACCAGACCCGACTGGAACCGCTGAAGATGGTAACGCTGCCGTAGTGAACGGAGGCATGGACGACGTACCAGCACTCCGCTTGTGGACACGGGTCGTGGATAATTTCGACATCGCATCGCGTCTCCAGGATGAGATTCATAAGTTGTCGGAGGACCACGACTCGTCCGCTCGCGCGCAGAAGAAGATGCGGCACAATGAGGCACTCGCCAAAGCAGTCGAGGCAATGCAACGGATGTCCCACGACTCTGTCCGGAAGGAGTTGGACAAGTGGGCGGCGCAAGAGAAGGACGACGCGGCTGCGGTGCAGATCGCCCACGGAGACCAGTTCCTGTCCTCGCGGGCCGAGAACTTCTGGGCGGCATGCTTCGTCCGCCTCTTCCCCCGCGGGGATTGCCAGGAAACGTGCTCCCAGCGCCCCGCTCGCCTGCCCGCAGCGACGTGGGCGAAGACGTTGCTCACTCGAGCCGACACTGTTTGCTGGCGCCGCGACGTGGAGTTCGTGGCCACGCTGTTCAACACTTTCCTGCGGCGCGACCAGATGGCCAGCGTCGAGGCCCACGTGAAGTCCACGGCCAGCGACGGCATCACTGGCATGACATCGGCGCAAACCACTGCGCTCGCGCAACTCACTGCTGAAGGCCTCGTCTCTTCCGCTGCGGCCGCTGGGGACGCGGCCAATCTCCGGGATCTGCTTCGACAGCAAGGGCTCGATCCCGTCGTGCGCAACGCCGCTCACCGGATGCACCTCGTGCTCCGACGTGTCCGCGGATCCGCCGAGGAACGAGAAGGATTCATCTGGCGATTCCGGGCTCTGCGAATATGGTCTGGATGCGCATCGCTCTTCTTCACCCTGAACCCGCACGACATTCGGAGCCCCCTCACTGTGCTGTTGGCCCAGGACGACGCGACCTTGTCCCGCAAGTTCTCCCTGGACATGACCGACGACGAAGCAACCCAGTGGATGGCCGACTTCAACCGGGAGGACCCGCGGCGCCTTCACCGAGCTGTGGCCAAGGGCCCGCTCATTGCCACGCGCGTCTTCCACTGGACCGTGCGGCTCGTCATGCGCGCATTGTTCAATTGCGCGGATGCGCCCGACCAGCTCAACTGCGACGGGATCGCCGCGAAGAATTTGCCCGGCATCGTCGGGCACGTTCGGGCGTACCTAGGCGTTGTGGAAGAACAGATGCGCAAAGCGCTGCACATCCACATGCTCATTCAGCTCGTGGGATCTCTCACCCTGACGACCTCTTCCAGGGCGACCACCTGCAGAACACGTTCCGACTTGCCTGGCACTACGTCGCATCTATCACGTTCCGCAGCACGGAAGCATTCGCTCACTACGCGAAGGACCCTCTCGGACAAGCCGCCCTTCAACAGTTGCCGTTGCTGCCGTTGACGAAATCGCAGCGGGAGAAGATCGGGAGCGTTCGCACGGCCGCCAGCAACGCCGCCCAGTGGCAGGGGCGGGGCCTGCAAGGAACGAGTCGATGGAAAAGGGTAGCCAGCTAAAAGCTCCCAGGGGGTGGTGCAATACATTTAGTCCAACAGCTCCCCTGGGGCGCTAGAGATTTGCTTCGCGCAATGCGTTTTAGGCCGCAAACGTTTAGATGGACCTGTGCGTGTGATACCGTATTTACAATGCAATGCCATTCTTTCTGGTTGCAGTGCATTTACCCCCAACAGACACATATGTATATGTATGTGTACCTATATATATATATATACATGTGTATATGTACATGCCCGTACACACATATGTATGCATACATGTATGCGTGCATTGCACTACCCCTTTTCACTGGACATGAGCTGGCCTCCCTCTCCGTCAACCCGCAAGGACCCGCTGCGTGCGCCGGCGACGTCGCCGAGTTCCCGTTCTTCCCGACGTCCTTCTCCTCCGACCGCAACGTCGACAGCGGGAAGTGGGCTGTGAAGGCCGTGCAGGAAATCTTCTCGCGGACCAGGACCTCTCGCCTGCTCGTAGGGTTCCGTTTCTTGGCGGCGGTAGCAACAGCAGCTCAATGGATTCTCCCCACGAAGCTTTCCGTCTTCCGAGCACTGCCAATCCCCCGAAACGTTTCTTGGCACCTCTGGGGGTGCGGCGGAAACAGAATCCCCCATTACACCCACGAGTGTGTGTTTCGTGGACTTCTCTGAGCTGGCTGCCGCCCCCTTGAAACGGAACCCTTGGACCAGACGACCCACAGGAAAACTGGCAATCACGTATGTCGGCCGGCAGTTTGTTACAAAGGGCGACTCGGCAAGAAAGGATTCTGCCGCATGCACTATTGGCATTGGGCTTGCCAGACCGACGCGAAGACGGGGAAAGATATTGCCAAACGTCAGCATGGCTTGGAACTACGCGCTCGATGGGACGGCACTGGCGAGCTGCCGATCCTGCGTTACCCGCCACACGTGGGGCTCCCAGCGCTGGAAACAACGCATCCGTTCCACTTCCGGCTGAACCCCGCCATCATGCTGGGCCCGCAGTGCAACCATGACTTGGCGGTCCTGCTGCGGTTCTGCGAGCTCCCCGCGAACGATGCCGACCTCCCGAATGAGAGCCGCGTTGCCCAAGTGAAAGCAGCGATGGCCGAAGCTATGGGGGACCACGAATATTACGCCTCGGCGTACTCAGCGAAGTCGCAGCCGCACGCAGACGGCCTGAAAATGACATTGGCCGCATCGCTCGAGAGGAAAGAACGCGCGGCACAGCTGGCAGCCGCGACGGACATGGTCGATGACCAGGAGAAGGCACGCAAATTGTTGCACACGCTGGTGGCCGCGACTAACAACCGGATGCACAAGGGGTTCCCCGAGATGATCAGTTACCTGTTAGGCAAGCCCATCGCGCACAGCAGCCACACGTTTGTCCCTGTCTTCTTCGGGAAGCTCCTCGCGATCATTCGTGCCACCATGTCCCAGACAGCTCGCGGTGAACCTGTCCAGACAGACCACAGCCAACCGCGACCATATACTACGAAGTTGACACCAGCCAAACTCCACATCGGCGAGTTGGACTACGTGCACAGGCCGCAAGAACTGGAACAATTTCCCTTCTACTTCTTCTTCGCGAGCTGCGACGCCAAGTTGCCCGTTGGCAAGAACCCCCCGCCGGAATCTCTTCGGTGGGTCAGGGACGGTAGCCGCCGGCAGTACACGGCCGCGCCAGTGACCAGCGCTACTTACGACGGAGTGCCGCTCCGAGGGGCTTCGACGGACGCAGAGCCCAATGGGGAAGTACTTTACAGGTACGCGTACTACATCTCATTGCGTTTGACAAAGCCGTGGAAGGTGCCCATCCTCTACGGCAAATTGCCTGGCCGGCCTGCCAGCGACGACCACCTGGACGAGTGGTTCCTCTATGCGTTGAATGTAATGGTTCTGTTCAGGCCCTTCCGGGCCCTGTCAGATTTCGTCACCCGCATCACGTCGACACCGTGGCCGCATGGAGAGAAAGCATGTCAGGCAGCCGTCGTGCACGACTTCCGCGCATGGGAAATGTCGACCCGAGAGGTGGCTCGAAAGTGCACCGCGGAGACGCCCCCTCTAACCCCAGAGTGGTGGGCGCACAGAATACTGGAGAGCATTCGCAACTACGACTTCGCATCCTCCAGGAGGCAAGCCATCAGTGAAGCCGTGCCGTCAAGCGTGCAGATGCCATTTCTCCCACCGTGGAACGCCGCCCGTGACGAAGCAGCCCAGGCCGCCGCGAACGACCCGGACACTCTGCTGGAGTCCGACGACGACGGCGACGACGATGTAAACCCGCCCGACATTCCCTTGGACGACGACAACACGGGCAACGACGCGCCAGCCCGACGACACCGAGCACCCGACCCGGCCAGCCTCCTCTGCGGCATTTTCCCCGCGGGCGTGGAAATGGACGACGTGATTGCTCCAGCGGCATGGCAGAGAAGCACCGCCGCAGAAGCGAAGTACATTGTCGAGTTCATGCGAGAGAACTCCGCCCGGCTCCGAGCGCCGGACGTGGCCTCTCGTGCACCAGTATTCGAGGATGCCGTGCGATTGCGCCCGGCCGCATCTCTGGCGGCTGCGGACCGGCAAGCGGATTTCTTCAAGATGATTGACGCCTGGAAGGCCGAGACGAGTACGAAGCCGCAGAAGTCCACTCAGGAGACGCAGGATGCCCTGCAGCATCGACTCCAGACGGTCATGGCAGACGGCCGCAGCTCGGCGTTCCCGCTTGTACCTCCGCGTACGCGGACTGCAGTGCTCGACGCTTGCTTCCACCTCTTGCGGGCGGGCGTACTGAACGTGGTCGACATGCCCGAGATCAACGTCAAACAGGCGCGCGCGCTGCTTTGGAACGCTGCATGGCTACAAGACGTCATGAACCGCGCGTGGGGGTTCGACGAGCCCTCTGGGCCGACTGTCACAGGGCGACCGTCTTTGGCAGACGGGTTTCAACTCGCACTCATGGGCCCCGGAGGCACTGGGAAGACGGCGGTTCTGAGAGTCGTCGAGGCAATCATCTGCTACTTCAACGGCCCAGACACGGTGCAGAAATGTGCGCCGTCGAACTCGGCGGCAAGGCTTCTGAGAGGGGACACGCTGCACGCACTGTGCAAGCTACCGTTTGGCAACGTGACCGTGTCCAGTAAGAAAGGTCGCCTCACCCGCACTGTCTTGGAGAGCCACCGGAGCCGCTGGGAAGGCGCCCTCGCGTGCTTCATTGACGAGGTGTCCATGGTCGCAGCAGCCCAGCTCTTCCAGGCGGAGGTTCGATTGAAGGCGGCCAAGAACTCCACCCAGGCTTGGGGTGGCTTGGGCATGACGTTGTCCGGGGACTTCATGCAGCTCCCACCAGTCGACCCCACGGGCGACAACAGGAGCCTCGCCACGGACCTGGACGAGGTCGACGTCCTGAATGAGAAGGGCGAGTACGACCAGGAACAGAACGCGGACAAGAAGAGGTCGAAGCACGTGGAGACGGTGCAAGGACTGCAGCTGTGGCGCCGCGTCCGGAAAGTGGTGACGCTGGAAGTGAACGTCCGCGCCCCTGGCACACTCAGCCAGCTGCTGGCGGAGATGCGTGCAGGCAACATATCGGACGCGATGTGGTCCTTGTACACCAGTCGCATCTTATCTTCAGATGACGCCCGCCCGCGCGATCCCGCGTCGCCCTTCTCCACGAACCCCTGGACATACATCGTCCACAGGCACAAGATTCGCGTCTACCGATCCATGCAGAACGCTAAGCAGCAAGCGCTGCGGACGGGCCGCCGCCTCTACGTCGTCCAAGCCCGCGACGAGCCAGTGGACCCCGCCGACGCTCAAAAAATGACAGAACAGGTCCATCGAGACCTCCTGCAGAAGGTGAGCCCGAAAGATACGCAGGACTTGCCGAGTCTTTTGCCCCTGTACATCGGAATGCGCCTGACTATGTGCTCGAAAGACTGCGTGCGGCTGGGCCTCATGAAGGGCTGCGTCTGCACGCTCCGCCACATTGTCTTCGCCGACGGAGAGCCGTTCCAGTCGGACCCAATGGACGAGAACGTCGTGCACGTACAGTTCATGCCCGTTTCCCTATGGCTGCAGGCTGACGGCGGCGACTGGGAACTCCCGGCGGCCGACTTGGCTGCGGACCTCCCCACGTGCACTGACCGGCGCGGCTTGTTTCAAATGAGACCGACGTGCGGGCATTTGCGCGCAGCGTGGGAAGAGGAGCATTTCTCAGTACGCCGCACCACTTACCGTTTGTTGCCAGCAGATACGATTATTGTGTACGGCGCTCAGGGGGGTACATACGTAGCCGTGGTGGCTGACATGAAGAAGCCGCCTTCCATGGACGCAGATACGCATTGGCTTGCGTGCTACGTGATGCTCTCGCGCGCTGTCTCCGTGGAGAGCCTTTTCATTCTACGCCCGGCCACCAGGCGAGAACTTTCCCGAAAGCCGCCGAAGTTCCTGCTAGACGAGATTACCAGGCTGGCCGAAATGGAGACGTCGTCGCTCGGTGACCTCATCCGCACTTTGCGGGACATGACAGGAGATGCGTTGCCCGACGACCTGATGGATCACGTCCTCGCGAGCGATGGCGCGTCGCGCCAGGCATCCCGGGTAGCTTCCTTCCGAGCTAACCGCCCTGCCAGACACCAGCAGCGCGCGACAGCTTCGCCGCCGCCCTCGCGCCCCGAGGAGGGCCGCAGTGTGCTTCGGCGAACGCGCGGGAAGACACCGCCGCCAACGCTGCTGCCGCAGGATGGAGACACGTGGAGCGCCGGCGGCGGCGCGGCGGAGCAAGCGATGACCCTGTCTGCGCTGCCCCCGCTGAAGAAGCCGCGGCTGACGGAGAGTACCGCGGCGCAGGTGCCGCCGCCGCCCCGAGCGCAGGACTCTGTGCCAGGGAAGGCAATCGATGCACGCGCTGGCCATCAGGCGCAGTCCGGGCACCCAGCACCGATGGCCGACGCTCTCTTCGGCGCGGCACCCCCGACGACACGAACGCGAGCTCCAAGCGCAACAGCTACGTCGATAGTGCCGTCGACTGCATCCGCCCGCCCGTGCGGCGAGTGCGGCGCGCCGGAGTGCTGCGTCGACTACGAGCGGTGCCCCTTCTTCTTGCTATCACCTGCGTCCAACTCGCGCTCCCTGCTGCAGTGGGCACATGGTGCCGCCCATGCCGTCTCAGACGCACTGTGCACCCGCGTTGCAACTATTGGGTCTTCCATTGGTTCCACGATGTCCGTGCACAGCGTCGAGTTCGGCGGCCGCGGAGACTGCCTCTTCTACAGCATTGCCGGAGTGCTGGCTCGCATGGTTGTCGCTGGTGGCCCACCTGCGCGCCACATATTGAAGACCGTGTCTTCGCAAGTTTTCCTCCAGGGCAAGGATGCCGTCATGCGAGCACTCCGACATCTGTCCGCTCGGATATACCTGCGCTGGACCCCGGAGCAAGTACTTGACTTCATGGTGTCCGCCTGTATGCAGCACCGCACGGGGATGCATGAAGACCTATGGGTTCCGCTCGATGTTCTTCGCCAGTCCTCTCTGGATTGCTTCGCGCACGTGGAGAGCGTCCTCGCGTTCGAGGAAAGATCCGACGGGAGTGCCGTTGCCCGGGTGGCCGTGACAGCTGCGCGACTTGGAGGAGGCGACCGCGACGAAAGCCTGATCACTATACCAGACGGCACGGCGCGACTGCAGCACCTTCGAGAAAGCATTGCCGCTTGCATGGCCCAACCTGGAAATATTCATTGGGGCACACAAACAGACGTCAACAGCCTCAGCGAGGCCCTCGACATCGGCGTCTTCGTGTTCCGGAACAATTTACCGGCACAGGCCTGGGGATCCCAAATCGACCTGGGCCAGGGACGTCTTGGCTACCCCCTCCGGGCAGCCCTCCTTGAACCCTCGGACTCTTGCGCCCAACGGTTCGAGACTCACCTGCTGCTGCGCGGGAAGCCCAGACTCCCTTGGCCCTCGTCACATTTCGGACCCCCCGAACCAGGCGACAACCTGCTTATACAACACGTGTAGCCAGCGCGACGATTACCCTTTCTGGATTTCCTTGTGGTGGGAAGAGCCCTTTCATTTCAGAGGTGCTGAACTACGTGCTGCACATCGTGCCGGCTCCCACGCGCCCGCATGCACGGAGACACAGACGTCTTTCTGGACAGCCGCAGACGTACCACCATTTCTACTCCACGAGTACGCAGAATGTAACCGCTTGGCGAACTGATCGCAAAGCGATCTGCCACTGCACTTTCATTCCCTTCGGAGGCGTGCCTACGAGCATGCCGTTGCTGCCGTGCAGTGTTCCGACGCCACGATGTGTTCGCATAGCGCATGACTTCCTCCCGCCAGTCCTGCAATCGACATCGACAAAGCAACGACGACGACGAGAAATACGATCACGAGGACGAGGGCAATAATGATGAAGACGGAAGCCACTACGCAAGAAAATACATCGACAAAGAAGACGACGTCAGCAACAACAAGAACACGAATCAACCGTCCACACCTTTGCGCACAAGAACGCCTGAGAGGCGCCCAAACGGCACCAAGAGTGCCAGAAGAAACTCCCATATCGCCCACGAGAGCCCCAAGACGGCCCCAGAGAGCGCCAAGATGGCCCAAGGGAGTAACCGCATACCCTCCAGAAGCGCCAGGACAATCCAAGGGGCCCACGACATTCCAGAAAAGTTCCAGCAAGATAACCAACAAGCTTTCAAGAGGCTCCCGAGAGACCCCCAGAAAGCCCGAAGAGCCCCAGACGGCCCACAAGGTCCATCACGCGCCGAGACGGCATACTGGGTCGACCAGCACGCCAGACCAGCGCGGCAAACCAAAAGGCCGTTTTGCTCCAGCCATCCTCAAAGATGCGGTGCCGGATTGGAATCTGAACGCACATGGGCCCAAAGGCGCCCCGAGAGGCCTCCACCACGCGCCCGGAGACCCCAAGAACCCAATCTACGGACGCGCCAGCGTCCAGAAAAAACATTCAGAAACCTCATAGAGTTTCCCACACGGCTCCCAGCGTGGCTTCGACCGTCCTTACTGCTCTGCACGAACCCCCACGCAACCCGAAGGCTGCGCCCACACGCCCCCTACACACCGACAGCGATTCGCAAGGAGCGCCGAGAAGCGTCGCCTTCCCCCCATTCGTCCTCCTTGCCTCCTCTTCCCCTTTGTCTCCCTCCTTCCCCCCCTCTCCCAGCATCCTCCCGCCCCTCCTCATTCTCCTGTTCGTCCTCCTCCGCCGCCGCCGCCGCAGCCGCCGCCGCCGTCGTCGTCGTCACTCGTCCGTCGCCTCGGGAGCGCGAGCGTCGTATATTTTCGAGGGATCCTTGACTCGGGCACCGCGCAGTCCCCTCCTGTTCGCACAAGCGTTCCAGTTTTGACGTCCCCATGTGATGCCACACCTGCAACGAACGTTCGAACATTCGCTTCCCGTTCTTGTCAGGTCAGGTTCCATCGATATTCCTTCGACAATCCATCGAAATTCAATCGACATTCCATCGACATTCCATCGAAATTCCATCGACACTCCATCGAAATTCCATCGGACTTCCATCGGACTTCCATCGAATTCCATCGAAATTCCCTCGAAATTCCATCGAACTTCCATCGACATTCCATCGAAATTCCATCGGATTCTGTTGGAATTCCATCGGGATTCGGTCGGGCCACCTCTCTCAAGGGTGGGAGGTCATGACATATGAGCGAGTGTGATGCGGCACATGCGTTTCAGTGTATCATTGTTCATATAGTAATAATGTTTTCTATCTGAGAAGGTGGAGGTGGGGTGCGAGAATGATCGGGATGTTGATAATGATGATCATAATCATGATGATGATGATGACGACGATGATGATGCTGCTGATGATGATGCTGATGATGATGATGCTGCTGATGATGAATGGACGGAGGAAGCCGATGGGGGAGGATGATGATGCCCTGGCTCGAGCGCAAAAAAACTCTCAAGCACGAATGCTTGGCTGGTACTGGCTTGATGACAGCCTGGCGCTCTGACGCCTCATCATTGCGCCGTCGCCTTCGAGGGCTCGCGCGTCGCAGACGGCGGGAAGCAGTCCTCGAACTTGGTAGGCAGCTCGCCACCCCTGGCGAGCTGGTCAGCTGCGAGCTTCAGGCCGAAGTTGATCCACTTAGTGTCACCATGCGGCACCCAGCTGTAGTAGACCCACGTTTCGGGATCGTCGGCCTTCCACTCAGGCTTCTTCCACTTGACGTCACGGGTGTCGACTGGCGTGTTCTCCCTGCTCTTCCTCTGTTGGTGCTCGGCCAAGATCTCGAAGCCCTGCTCGATCCACTTAGTCTCATCTTTCGCGACCCAGCCGTAGTAGACCCACGTGGTAGGATCGTCCGCATTCCACTCTGGGATCTCCAACGCAGGCGGCTTGAGCCTCGGCTCGTCGACCTGGCGCTCGAGGTAGTCCTTCGTCATCGGATCCACCGTCGGGTTCGTCCTGTACTTCATTTGGAAGAACCCCGTGATCTTGGACATGTCCTCAGCGACGGTGTCGAACATCTTCAGCGAGTCTTTGAGCATCATGATGCTCTCTCCCTGCGCCATGCTGCCAAGAGAGCAGTCGGGGGCGTCGGGGTCGGTCGGGCATGGGGGGCGAGTAGATGAAGCATTCAACCGCACGATGCCCATCATGATCTTGCGCCTCTGGTCACCCACCCGCTCGAGTTGATCGGCGAGCGTCTGGATCGCGCCCGAGAGGAGCTACGCATTCGCGCGCATGGTGTCATTGGCCGTGGTCAACGCGTACTTGACGGAACCGACTTCTTGATCCTCGGCATCGCCCCTGTAGATAGGCAGCCCCGTCGTCGGAGATGTCGGCATCGTATTACCAACTCGCTGGTGGATCGATCGAAGCCAGAAGTCGCTGTCGAGTTTGATCCAAGATGCTACGGATTCGTGCATCCGGGTCGGGGCTCGAGCGGCCATTCGAAGCCGCGTGACACGATGTTACCACCGCTAGTAGTCGAGGCGTGACCACAGGACGAGTCGAGCGTCGAATCCACGCTCGGGGTGCCACCCCACGGAGGACATGATGAAGATTATGAGGGCGAGGATGGGGAGGGGGAGCACACGCCCGCGAGGCGGAGAAGGATAATGCGGAATACGAAGGAGAGGGGACGGCCAGATATGGAGCGAACGGGAGAGAGATATGCATATAACGAGAGATAGAGAGGGCGAGAACCATTGAAATCTATAGGCCCCATGCAATTCGATCAGCAAGGGCCCGCAGGGCCCCCGTGGCCGCAGCCACATTGCACAGCCACATGTTAACATTTGAGGCCAGCCTATGGTGTATTATGCAAATGGAGATGATGAAACTGATGATGTAACTGATGCTATTGATGCGATCGTGGATGCCTCGGCCCATCGACCGTCCACGCATGCCTGCAGAGCGGGCCGCGCGCAGTCGTGGCTTATCGTTCGGTCTGAACCTGTCGCTAGCCGCCCCGTCCGTCATCCTCTTCCGCATCCCAATCGCCCACTCCACCCCGTTCCCGCATCGTGGCCTGGTCGGCCCATGTCAGATTGCGCACGAACGGTGCGACGCAGCAGGGCAGCGTCCAGGGCTGCTCACATAAGTGCAAGTCACAGTCCTCAGTTGATATTACCTTGTCCCTCCTCCTTTCCCTCCTCCTTACATCCGCCCGCCTTGTCCTCCTCCCCCTCCCCCTCATCATCGTCATCATCATCATCATCATCAGCATCATCATCGTCATCAGCATCACCGCCATCGACCTTATCCTCATCATTATCCACCTTCTCTAGTCCGTGGTACGCGTGGTGTATTGTAGGGGTGGTGTTTCCCATGTAGGATGTATTCCGCAAATTCAGTCACCGTTGGCTGTAACAGATCGGCAAGCTTCGCCGACGCGCATCGGCTGGCAGAGCCCGCGCGTCATTAGCGCGCGGGCGCGATGCTGCATGGCGCCAGTATGGCGTGCATGCGCGTGTATGCGTGTATATGTATATGTATATGCATAGATACATGTATATGCACACGCATGTGTATATCCATATCTATGTACACAGAAAGATATGGTTACACCTGCACATGTGTAGATATATCAGTATACGAATATATGTGTGTATAATGATCGTATGTCAACGTGTACATTGATATGTGCATAACCATCACGTGCGCTCACTTAATTCACCGTTGTGGCGCAACTACTGTCAATATTTGCGACAGAGTCGAGCTCACTTCATCGAGTGATTGAAACTAGCTAGCTAGTCCGAGAGAATGTGCACAATCATCCTTGCAGCTGCATCTGCGAACTGTTCAGTGTAAGCTGCGGACGAGGACAGACGGGCGTGGACGCCATTATACCACTTTCTTGTCTTCCCTGCCTGCTTGGTCAGGGGAGAAGCGGTGGCGCCCATCTGGCTCCGAGCTTCGCTCGCAGACGTAACGAGAAAATCTAGCATATGGGGCGGCTTGATGGTGGTCAGCAATGCAAGCCCTTTGAGCGACGTCCACCCAAAGGCGCCGCCATACGTGACAAACCGAACAGCATCACACGCATTGGCGCGACTCACAAGCACAGGATACTGGAAGAGTCTGCTGCCATGAGGGTTCTCGATCAAAAAAACCCTGCGCTCATATGCATATCCCATGAGTGCCTGCACTAGGTTGGCGACAACATTTGCATCGCGCACGTCGTGGCGCGACACGTTGCCCTCGTAAGAATTCTCGCGCGTGCGCTGCATATGGCGTGCAACCAAAAATCTGCACCACGTGCTGCACTGGGGGGGCAAACCATGCAACGCCTCCGCTCATCACACGTGCGAT